GTATGCCAAAACGGACGTGTGCATCGTCGACCAAAACGAAATCTTGCTCGTCGTCCAGGAAGACAAACGACATATGGACAATTCAGATCCAGAACCACAGCTCATCGCAGGAGGCCATCGCAGCCTTTGCTGCAAATAATCAGACTCGCCGACAAATACCCAATCTAACACCCCTTGATTCCAAGACTGATGGCCGGAATCACTGTGAAGGGCACCGCACCGATTTTCTACAAAATTAAGGTTACAGCAACACTCGTAACCAGTATCGGAGGTGGGGCTTACCCTCAGGAGGCAACCACTGTCTATGCGCACATGCCCAATATCCCGAGACCGATTCGCCGCTGGAACGAAGGCATGAAGCCATTGGACAATAGGAAGGTCATTCTGTCTTGTTATGAGGCGTTCAAGCAATTCGTGAACTAATGTGGAAGGTAAGTCACGTTTCCCGAGGACCAAACGGCCATTGATTTTGTTCTTCGACCAAATTCAAAGCCTGATAATGGCGAGTGGGATTTGGGTGTGCTTGACCTGTGATACTTTTGCTTGCCATGTGCCATGATGACATAGCCAGCCTAAGGGACAGAGGTAGATGCGAGCGTTGCCAATTGATACCAGGCCAGTGTAGAGGACTCGGAGGAGCGCATAACGCACATGTGATGCGGGATTTCGAGGTCGCTCTTGTTGTGACTAAGCAAAAAACACGGATCACATGGAGCCATTTTGCACCTCTGAACCAGAGCGGATAAGTCCCAGCCGTTTTATATATTGTACAGTATGCTGTACATCGTACAGACGTAGACAACGAGCAGAAACGGATGACTCGCTCAAAATTTGTTACAATCCTTGCCATTTTCCAAGACACGAGCGCTGGTCGAAATCTGGCAGTTGTCTAATCACATCGCCGTATAATCAGAGGGAATTTTCTCACCAACATTCTTCTTGGGATCGCACGCACAGCGTCTAGTTCTGTATGCATCTCCCTGTGGGCAATATTGAATGTCGCCATGACGATAGCCAATGCTATCTTGGAACAACAGTTTCTCCTTGTGCAGAAATAAAGATAGAGCAATGCTCAGTATTGACGCACTATCCCATCGCTTTGCGTACAGTAAAATTCAGCCACCAAGGACGCGCGGCGTTCAAAAGTGAGACCCCGCGTACCTCGTAAAATATACCACCTTTCTTGTCTAGATAGTCGAAGAACGTCAAGTACCCTGGACTCCTCAGGAACTTCATGTCGACGACTTCGAAACTACTCTCGTCTAGGAACGCTTTGGTCCTGAGCAAGAACAACGAAAATCTACGACTGTTACGCACAGTGGCACAAAGTATAGGTGTCTTCGTCCTCTGTTACGAACCCTGCCAAGTTGCTTCCCGTGTTTATACGAAGCTTGTGCTCCTGCATGAAATCTATCGTTATTCAGAAATCAATAAATGGGCGCTCAAAAAGTTGCGCAAGTACCGTACACTGCCTCCCACAACGTAGAGACAGTCTGTTCCATTTCGCGAAGAGCCATGTTGAATGCTTCGAAAGCGTCATCAAACGGGATCACGACAGCTGGTCAAGACACGGGTCTATGGTACCATATATTTTTCCTTCTCGCATGATCTCGAACGGGTCCTCTAGAAAGTCGCAGAAATATTGCGACCCCGGCCTTACAAAATTTAGTCACATAGGACCACACAGACCAGGATAAGCTGACTGACTGGATTCGCCAATAATACCTATATGATTGGAGGATATCCTGTCGGGCTAAGAACTGTGGCACATCTCAGCCTGCATTTGAGCGGGATAAATGGGTCAGTATTACACCAGCATTGAATCTGCTCAAGTTCCTAAAGCTGCGAGAAGCAAGGTCAAAGGATTCTTTCAATGAGCCCAGACAGACACATACCGTGCGCTGTCTAGTCAGTTGATCAGGACGTAAGCAGGCGTGTGAACGAGATGTTTCCAAGCGTCTACCTCCTTGGGGAATTCTCAGCAGTCCCATGTTCTTACGCACTTGCTCCGCCCTGGTTCCGTTTATCCAGTCAGGGGGACCCCAGTGTTCTGCAGGGATCACACCGAACGAGACTGGGGAATCAGTCATCGTCGAGACACGTCTTGAGATAGGATACTAGTCAGGCATGGTGACGCTCGAGAGAGGACAAGGTTGGAGAAGTACGTTTTGAAGTCTTCCGTAAGTGGTTCATCACACAGAAACGTCCATGGATATCTAGCTTGTGCGTTGAACCTGTCCTCAATTTGTTGCATAGTAGTGAGTACAGCCCCTAAGTCGGAATCTTCGCACACGACGAGGAGAGTGGCATCCCTTGGGCTCGCTGACGGCAAAAGCCGGAGGTGACTAGGAGGGTTGGTCAGGGTGTAGAGTATTGTCTGCGCTGCTGTAAGTTCGAGTTAGTGATCTATAAGAGTGGAGGAGACACATGCCAACGAGAGGACGGCCACGATCGAGAGAAGTAGGTTGCGACGGATTGCACTTAGGGGCATGAACTAGGTAAACCGGGAAAGGGGCACACCGCGGCGGAACGCTGCCTTTTCAATTGAAGTTGACGTTGATATAATACCAGGTGTGTGATAACAAATTTTCTCACCAGAAATAAGTTACCCACAGCAAATAAGAATGCCGGTTGGATTTCCGAAGACTCGTCGCTGTCATGTTCGTCGTCCACGGTGCCTTTCGTCCTTGTACCCCTCGAGCTCACATGGGTTGTTATGTCAGTTTTTCGACACCCGGGGCCACCGGGTCTACCAGCACGGTGAATTTGGGTGCCCGCGTTCTTCTGTCGCTTGTCATTTCGTTCACCCGTCCGACCCGGAATGGGAATCTGTTGTCCGTGGAGAGAGCAGAAGGTTCAGCGACGATCACTCGGCTCGACGCTCGCCGAGTGCACCCCCCCGTGGACGTGACAGAAGACGGTCGCCATCGCTCGATCGCCAACGCAGTGCCCTGAGCCCCAGACGACAGAGGACGCCACCCCGTGGGAGTGTCCGTGTCCGCAGCCCTGTTCGGCGTCACAGCTCTTCACGAAGTCCCCGTCGTGATGATCATCCCCACGATCGTGACGTTCGTCCTCCCCGCCCTTCATCCCCGCACGAACGTCTCACTCTCGCCCAACGCATCGATTTAACCCCCAAACCTCACGTCCCCCCCAAGCCTCCCCCCAAACTCGTCATGTCACATACGAGCTCTCGCGATCGCCCTTCCGAACAAGAAGCTAAATCCAGTCCCATCGCTCCCGCCAAAGTGATAGCAGCGGCCCCGCCCTCTAGTGCTTCAACATCTAAGCCCTCATCAGAAACAGCCTCCAAGCCTTCTGGTCCCGTGGCAGCAGCCCTCACATCGACCGTTCTCAGAAGTCCTTCCGCCTCCTCCCATACAAAAAAACTCGTCCCAACCCAGCGATGATATGATGACACCCGAGCAACGACGGGCCGTGTGGGAGAGACGTATCACGTAAGCCGTCGTCGTCGCCGTCGCGCACAATGCCTCTCTTAGCTATTTTCAGCCTCATGGCGGATGCCACCAAGGAATTTATGGAACTTGAAAAGCTGGGACAAGATATGCAGATGCGTCGACAACAAATTCAGTCGCCTGGATTCGCCACACTTCCTTCCGACGTCAAAGCCACTTTCCAAACCGGCCTTACAAGTGCTGAATCTGTCTACCAGAAGAAAAAGGACTCCTTTAATAGTGTGGTCAATAAGCTGTCCGAAACAGATTTCTGGCCTCCTGTCCCCTCGCAGAGAGCCGGTGAATTGGAGGCCAAGCTGAAGGAAGCAAAAACGATGCTCGGAGGCTTAGCCGACGGTGTCGGTCAGTTGTACAAGAGGATCGAAAGTCTCTACGAACAGCGCTCAGGTGGCCCCAGCGCAAAGCGATCGGGTCCTGACGAAGACGTAGAAATGGCCGACGGAGCGATTCGTACCAAAAAACGACGACGCTTATCCATCAACGGCAGCGATGATGCGACCCCGTCGGATATACGCGAGGATGTGGAGTCTATCAAGAACACCATACGCGAAATCGATGACCACCTCCACGAGGTCGAGAACGACATATCCCAGCACTCTTGCCACGTTATGGAGCTGCTTGAGGTGAAGATAGAGGAGAAAATAGAGGAGATCGCGCGGAATGCGGACGTATCCTCTCTGGTGGAAGTTCGGCTCGGCCCACAGACTACCAAGACCTTTCAGGCGTTCAGTGAAAGCTTCACACAGGCTGACCGAGAGATCGGGGAACTCGCACAGGAGGTGGCAGAACTCATTCCGAAGTTAGACTCACTCAAGCGTGAGAATGATCTCTTCAAGCAGGAGGAGGCCGCGAGTAAGGAATTACTCGCAGAGGTGCGTGACCTCCATCTCCGTTGCTCTCATTCCTCTCACAGACGATGACGTTTACAGTTAGTAAAGGCAGATCAAGAAAATGCCGAGGCGCTTGCGCGTCTCCAAGCCGAGGCTGAGTCCTTAGGGAGCACCCTTAAAGCACAGGCGAACAGGGCGACTCGATCGTCGCTGCTACCAACATATCCCCTTCCCAAACCTTTCATGGACGCCATCACAACATCTGCCCAACAACAAGTGCACGAGCAGATACTTTCTATCTTGGCAGACACGCGCACTGACACCGAACGCATCGCAAAGGCCCGCGATATGGAGTTGTATGAAAGCTCGTCGGAGATAAAACTGATCAGTCCTCTAAGCTAGCCCAATTGATATCGGCATGGATCGAGCGTCACCCTGACTATGTTCATCAAGCGTTGACCGCTGCCGCGGCCAGTGCAAAGGGTAGCGGCGCTGGGGGTTCGGGTCGTGTCTCCACATAGTTCGATCTACCGCTTCTTGGTTAACGGATTCTTGTGTCCAAAACGAAATATTATTTATATAATTATGCTGTAGATACAACAACCTAGTAAGACGAAGTCGAAAATGCTTTTCCTTCGATCCCTGGAGGGGCTTGGTGACTTCGTCAACTTCGTCAACAACGCATGTTAAAAAGTGGACCTTCCGAGAATCGAACTCGGGACCCTTGCATGAATAGGTCAAGGTAACCTCATAAGTACAAAGCTCTACCGATTGAGCTAAAGGTCCAACACCTCTGGTCTCATTTTATGCGTCTACGATCCTCACCGGAGGGTTGGATCGAAGTGCTCGGGTTCTTCACCCTCGCCTTATAGCATTCATTAGTAACACCCATTTAACAGTGACAGACATGTGGAAAAATAAGTCAGGGTCAACGCCAGGGTCCGTTCTCCAAACCATTGCACGCTCGGGAAACTGGCCAGTTCTCATGGACTGGTACTAAGATGGAAGTCAATTGCGTGTGTCTAACGATACATCTGTAGGTGCATCTAACTAAACCACTAAATCATTATACCCGAGACCCAAGAAAACCCTGCCCTGCCACGCCTTACCTCACGGTTCGTCTGTGCTCTCCTCCTGAACGCCAACGGGTGTGAGGTGCAGAAACCGCGTGCCGACGCGCGCGGCCTGCTCGTCAGAATGTGTGATCCAAACGATCGCCTTGAGAGCCGAGTCGGCGTCCTTGATCTCCTCCACGAGCGCCCTCTCCACCACGGCGGAGCTCGCTGGATCGAGTGCGGAAGTCGGTTCTACGAACGAGAGTGTCAGGGAACAAAAGCGTTTGAGCCTTTGGGGAGACGCACCGTCTAGCAAGAGCACCTCGGCGCAGTTGAGCCCGTAGGGGATCGCGAGCGATAGTCGCTGGGCCTCGCCGCCGCTGAGCGAGCTCCACGGGCGGTCCCAGAGCTCCCTCGCGATGCCCCAGCGCTCTGCCAGGTCCATCGCGCGGATGCAAATGGAGGGGGTCGCCCGCGAAACGTTCTGGGACGTGGCGCGCGTGGAACGTACAGAGGGTCTCGATCAGATCGTGTGGTGTGCCGGGGAGCAGCGAGGGCCGTTGGGGGATGTACTGGACGTGGGTCCTGTATGAAGGGACACCTGGTTATGGTCACGGAGTGAGGGACACTTTGTGGCGTTCCGGGTGGTCGGCGTACCGTAATTCTTTGGAGGTCTGTTGGGTCCACGAAATTATTGGGAGAGGGCACGACGAGAACGAGAGCACGTCGACTCACTGTCCCTTGAATTCTATGACACCATGGTAAAGGTTGAGGTGGGCCAGACACTTCAAGAGGGATGTTTTTCTTGGAAAAGCAACGAAGCATGAGACGACGGTGAGGTGGAATCGAGCTTGAGCTCACCCAGCACCACTGCGTGCCTGCACAATGATGATGTCACCCTCGTTCACATCAAAGTTGACGTCGACAAAAACAGGATCGCCTTCTGGCCGAATGCAAGAAAGATTCCTCACGGTAACCAAGGGGGCCATACCTTGGAGAAGCGCGGGTTCGCAGCCGCTCTGTCGCAGGCTCAGGCAGCCACTCTGTTCTCTCAATTCTCACGCTTCGGTCCGAGCTACCGCCAATGCCAACCGTCCAACGCCAACCACGGTTACGCATTTGCATTAGTCTAGAGTAAAGTATTGAATAAACGTCCTAAAAATGTGGCTGCCCCGGTGGTGGTACCATTCCCATTTCCTCCGGTGTCAGGCTCGTGCTCTCGATCATCACACCGACTCCAACCTTCGCTGCGTTCTGGGGTAGACAACAGTGAGTAAAGCAGCATAATAGGACGGAGACCGATAAGCAGGACAGCACTTTGAAGTGGTCAATCTCTCCAGCGACCGTGAATGCGAAGCTGGGCGCAAACCGCTGCTCCAGCAGCGCTGATACTTTGCCCGTAGAGTCCAGCTGGGCCCGGAACGTCGACATGCGCAAGTCATACTTCGCGCCTATGGTGGCAATAGCATCACGGCGCATGGGCGCGGCAATGACCTGCAAGTCTGCCGCCGCCTCCACCTTCTCGCTCAGCTTGTGCCAATAGGTTGCTTGGAGGACGCCGATCGGCTGAAACTGAGCCGTCGCGATCCACTTCCCATCGGAACCCGTCAACTTGGCAAGGTACGACGAGGACACTTCTGCCTGGTCGGGTGCTCTTTGGTAGAGCGTCTCGATGCCCAGTGCTAGCTTCTTCGTGACGGACTGGAGATAGCTCCCGACGTAGATGCCAGAGCCGTCTAATGGGGACGGATTGATGACTTTACCGTTCAAGGTGTAGTCGAGACCTGAATAGTCGTGTTCCAACTGTATCATGGTATGACCAGGCTGCATCCCGAGCTACAGAACAGTGTTGCTTGTCATTGGAGTGATTCGCGAACGCAAGAACTGGTGACCTACCTGCGCCTGCACTTTTGAGATATTTGATCCCGACCAGTTTTGTTGGAACCGCCCAGAGACGTTTCCCTCATGGTCGACGTTGCCTTGTAGGAGCCCCTTTTATCACAAATTTGGTTTGAAAACCACACGTCATATGACTTGCATTCCGCGACCCACCTTGGAGTTCGCAAACAGCGCACCAAACGAGTAAGTTGGAGGTGCCGATTGAGAAGCCAGCTGGAACGAATGGGTGACTTGGAAAGCAGGGTCCATCGACAACCCCTTCATAAGGTCGGCTCGCGCGCCATCGAAGATGAAGTTGGTCAGATGGGTAGCTGTGTCACACTGTCAACTCCCCAATAGTTTACGAAGAATAAAATATTCACTTTTGACCTCTTTCTGTAGATTCTCTACGGAGCCTGGGTTGGGCAGACCGAGTGCTGTACGCCAGCTGGAGAACCTTGAGGAGGTATTCGCGAGAGGTGAAAACGCGGAGAAAAGGGTCGATTTTTTTGGTTGAGCAGGAGGCTCCGTATACGGGCCTGAGGGGAGGGATTTTTCGTGCTCTGCTGCGGCCATGAGAGTTGAAGGGAATAGAGCCGCGAAGGCGATTAGTTGGTTGGTTGTATGAGAAACGGACTCTGTCAAGGCACGTACACGTCCGGGCAAAGGCGCGCCAAAAGACTGGGTCTCCAAACAAACACAAACTGGGTATACCACGTGACCTAATTGCACATTGGTGTCGTCATTCATATGAATCATCAACCGTGCTCATCGTGCTCACGCCAGCTGCTGAGTGTAAGTATAACCTTCCATTCGTCGTCAATCGTTCGTAAGGGTCAGTAAGAGTCAAGTAGCTAGGTATCGCCGGATGAGTAGGAAGTAGGAAGGTCAGACTCGATAATAGCAACGAGGCACCGCAAGCAGCGACAATATAGAAAAATATGTAGCAAAGAGCAAAAAAAAAAAAACAAAGAAAATATCAATATAGTCAATACAAGCCCAGATCGGTTTCATGATCGCCAAATGTGAGTTTCCTCCAACCACCACACACTACTTACCACCATCGCTGCGGCGCCTGTCTATACGCGGCCGGTGGAAAAGCCGGAGGAGGGGGTGGTGCCTTGCGAACACGTCTCCTCGGCTGCTCAACGACTTCTTCCTCTACTTCGACAGGTTCCTCACGCACAACTGCTTCTTCATGCTCTATAACCACCTCAACCGAAGTTGTTCTCGGCAACATGGTTGAGAAGGAAGTTGTATAGGGCGAAGGAGTAGGATGGGCGACACGGCGAGTATTTGCGGGTGGTGGAATGACAACGGATTCATTTGGCACAAACTGGGTTTCAATATGAACTTGAGTTACGGTACGTGTTGCAGTTTCAATCTCTGTAATTACGACGGGGGGGACATCCTAACATGGAAACAGACGTGCGTCAGCGAAGCGATTCTCGGACGTATTAAGGGAGGATGTAGCCCTGGAGCCAGTTCAGATGATATAAGGGGCTTGCCCTGTTGGGCAGTGGCAACACGTCGCACGAGGGCGAACGGGCCTATCACGTGTAAGACGCGTCTTTCGATCGAGTCTATTCGGGGAGACGCGACAAGTCGCGTCGTGACTAACTGGCCCCGGGGCTACAGGGAACGAGGGGGACAAAAGAGAGATGAGAAAAACCGTTGTCCCCCAAGCCCGGACGAAGGAGTGGAGGAGGAAGGATATCACAGAGACTTCAACTGACTGAAGTGGGAAGGAGACGAATCCGGAACCTCCTTCGTCTCAGAGCTCGGGACGGCGGTAGAGAGGCGGTGGTACCTTGGATGGTCTACGCTGGGGGGGCGCTACTGGTTCGTAAACGTATTCTTCTTCAACTGCAGATTCACTACCGAGAGCACTGACCAGGACTATTAGCTAGGACTCAACGGGTTTAAGCCTCGAATGACTTACGCAAGTTGCTCCATGATCCAGGCCTCACGACGAGACGCGTCATGCTCGCGGCGATTGAACAGTTTCTTCACGACGACTGATCTCGCGTTCGCGCTCGGCAATTTTGAGTTCGCGGTCAAGGATATCTTCAAACCGCACATTGCTTTCCTTCCACCATCCAGGTGGAGTGAGCTCTTTTTCTTGGAGGACCTCCTTGATAACGGTCTGGATGGGAGGGGGCTCGAATGTCGCCTGCGCTACACAAGGAGGACACGACGTGGGAGCAGGTCCGAGGGGTACAGATCCAACCACGCCACCTGGGGCACCTGCCAAAATCTCTGCTTCGCGTCGAGCGACCTCGGCTTCGCGCACTGCAACATTGCTCTCACGAGCGATGAGAGCTTGGGATCGCTTGGGGGTGAGTACACTCCAGACACCCTGGGTGGCGGGATCTCCAGGGGTGGCGGCGGTACCACTGGAGGAACTTTGGCTAGGGAGGGAAAGCATGACGGCGAGGACGGCGAGGATAAGAGGACAATACGAGGAGAAGGGTGGTAGAAGAAATGGTTCTATGATGACGGTGGTGGGTGGAGCGTTCAGAGCGGTGCGAATGCCCTTCTCTGTCGCGTTCACGATGGGAAGAAGAAGGCTGAGCCATCCTGACGCTGATCGAGTTCGAGGGCGACAAGGATGTAGAAGTGCGGGCGCGGTCGGTGGAAGTTATGTTTGTAAAAAATGGAGAAATTGGGACGATAGATATGTGAATAGGCTGAGAAAATAAAAGGCCCTGACGGAGAAAAGGTGAGGGAGATGGATGTACAGGGAAGAGAAGTAAATGGGGGAGGATGTTCAACTAGAACCCGAAAAGGATCACCTTAAAAATACCATTGTCTGTATTTCCTTTTTTGATCCTTTGTATGTATTACGTAACG